ATGGCCTTAGAGGTCTTATTAAGCTTAGATCTAAATTTTGGTAATAAGGTCTTATGGTATTAAGACCTTATAATGAGTTTTGCCTTAGGGATGTGTACGCTACACGTACTGCACCTCAGTCACGACCCTTTCCCGCTCCAAATGAGTACACTACGCATACCAGTTGGTAAGCTTGGCGTATGGCGCAGTCCAGCTTGGGTGATTTTTGGGCCTTAAATCATTGGGCTTTGCTTGTTGGGTTGGACCATAGATTTTCATGATAATGGGCCACTTCTAATTTTGGCCTCATATTCGACTTTAGATGATCTTTGGGATTGGGCCTAGGATTTTATTAGGCTTAAAAAGAAAATGATAAATTGGTTCTTTTTATCTTGGACATTAGGCGAGTAATGTAGGATTTCAACTTTGGGTTATGTACCAATTATTAATTGGGGTTTTGTTTTTTAGTTACCGTGGGGATTTTTCTAGTCCAACAGCCTGAGTATTTATCTGATTTTTCAGCAATTGATGTGAGTTTTCTCACTAGATGCATGGGTCGAAGGCACCAATGTCGGTCCATTGTTTGTTGTGTAGAATGTTGAATGCCTTGTGATAAGTATGTGGAGAGTAAATTACTAAAATCGTCTCTATGGTTTGGTCAAAATTGCACATTTGGTCTCTAATTTTTTTTGCACTCGGATCGTCCATGTGGTTTGATTTTGTAATGTTTTTCGTTCCTATGATTTTGTCAAAATTGCACGTTTGGTCCCTAATTTTATATATGTAAGTGATGAAAAACCGCAACAAAATCAAACCACAGGGACGATCCAAGTGCAAAAAAAAAAGTTAGAGACCAAACGTGCAATTTTGACCAAACCATAGGGACGATGTCAATAATTTACTCTTATGTGGAAGACCAAGATATGGCCCCTAGCATTTGTATGAAAGACCATGGTCTGACCTCTGGTAGTTATATCTGACCCCTAGTATTTATATGCAAGATCAAGATTTGACCCTCGGCACTGAACGGAAAGACCATGGTTTGGCCCATGGTAGGAAATTTTTATATGATTATGCTTTGGCCCATAGTATTTTCTTCTTTCATGTGTGGGATATGTGGTACTTGGGAGAACTTACTAAGTTTTATATCCAGCGTGATGCACAACATCTTCTCCTCATGATTTCCGCATTTGATATATTCGTATTCTGATGTTTTGGATATTATGATTTGATGTTAATTCTGAGCAACTTAACGAATGATTTGGATAAGTTTTAAAAACAAAAAATTTAGGCCATTACATGTTATATTGATTGTGTTCGTCTCTTTCTTCGGGTACATGGGAAGAAGAAGAATAAATGGCTCGTGTCTAGTTATCTTTTCAAAAAAAAAAAAAAAAAAAAAAAAAAAAAAAAAAAAAAAAAAAAAACCGACCCAACTCATAATTAAATTAGGTAATTAACCGTTCTCTACCGACAATCGCACCAGTAATACCCCAGACCCCAGCCACAACCACAAGTCGACAACAAACAGTAAAAACTCGATTAAATTGAGCTACTATATATATGTATATAAAACAAAGTTAATTGTGGACAAAAAAGATAACAATCCCAGAAAAGCCTTCTTCTTGTCGCTCATTGTTCCTCGGTTCCTGCCAAAAAATCGCACTCACACCAACCCCTTCCTTTCCCATCAAAAGTCTTCCTTCTTTTTTCCTTTCTTTTTGTCTTGCAGTTGAATAATCTTGCGATGGCTATTCGATTTCATCCAATTCTGATTCTTTAGGGTTTACGATTAAGATTTGATTTTGTAATTGTGGAGACAAAAAAGATATGCAGACAGAAGGATCAGAACAGGTGAGATCGATGGCCGCAGACACAAGAGGGAAGCATAGAATTTCTGCTGCATTGAAGAGGCTTGAGCAAGAATCTCATTCTTTAGAGGTTTTTCTTTTCTTTAATTTTATGACGTTTATATACTATTTTTTTATTTTTTATTACATGGGTTTTTGTTTTTGATTGCGATTTTATCGGAAAGTTGTAATCTTGAAGTAATCGAAATTATCGAATATTTAATATGTGGGTTTTTTCTTTACAGGATAATAGATCGTATGGAATGATTTATGATTACTTTGATATTCTTTTTACAAATTGTGAACAAGTTTGGAGTCTGTTGTGTTTGACTGATTAATCTGTTCACATTTCCATTAAAACACTAGAGTTTGTAAAAGATTAGACTTAGATCCATGAAATTAACTACTATTAAGTTTCTATGTATGCATCAAGTAAAAAAAAAAACACACACCCATATATAGTAGCTTACTAGATTATGTGCTATATGGATAAATGTTGTTTAAAAATATTTGAACATGAATACTGTTTAAAAGATATTTGAAAAAATAATGTTGTTTACAAATATTTGAACATAAATGTTGCTTAAAAGATATTTGAAAAAATAACATGATTATGGAAATGGAAGGAAAAAAGAAAGTGTCAAATTTGTAAAAAGTGACTTAGCTAGAAAGTTTCATTTTCCTTAAGAGAAATCAAATATCCTCTTACTTTTTATTCCTACAAATCTTCCTACCCAATTAAATAGTGACATGTGTAACATTTAATGTTCATTTAATGATATTTTAATATACTAATATGACAAATGTCATCATTTAATTGATAGGAGGATTTGTAGGAACAAAAGTTGTAGGATATTTAATTTCTCTTTCCTTAATTTTCCATTTAAATCGTTCTTTTTGCTTTAAGTCAAACTTGCATATAACTTACTAGATTAAGTCAAGAAATAACACCATGATGTCATTTCCAAAGTTATATGCTTACCTTTGTCGCATTGTTGGGATAAAATGAGAAATAATCTCAATGTCTCTATATTTGACATTTCTTATGTTAACTTATCCTAGTGACTTTTAGAATTATAATTTCTCGATTTGATGTAATGCAGGAGGAGCTAGAACAACTTGAGAATATGGAAACAGTTTCAAGTGTATGCAGCGCGTAAGTATGAATTGTATAGGTTAAACGCAAGAAATAGCAACGTACTTTCATTGATTTGTTTACTATAGCATCAACATTCATTTCTTTCTATGGCAACATTGTGTCGAATTATAGCAATGATATTCAAATACGAGGCAATTTTCACTCGCATAAATATAATAACAAAAAAAATTAAAATACAATGCTATAATTGGATAGATTTGTCAAAGTACATTGCTATTTCTTGCATTTAGCCAAATAAAATTGAACCAACTTAACACCAATTCACACAACGTTCTAACTTCCCTTTTGGTTGTGTTCACTAGAATCTTTATTGACGCGGAAAGCAAGCCGGATCCACTACTTCCAATGTAAAATTTTATTTACCCTCACTTGCTTTTATCAATTATTCTTATTACTTTTTATTGACATTAGTACCAATCCAAGTTAGTACAATTTTCGGATTTGGTCCAAAAACAAATCTTCTTTCTCTTTCGGTCCCAAAATTCACATTTTTATAACGCTTTTAGTCCTTGACTCATAAATGAATGTTAAATCCATGTTAAATGACCATTTTGCCCTCACTTTTTTCGAACCATGAGTCTCAGTCCAAATTCAATGCATGCTAAACACACTACAAACTGTGTTGTCCTCCCTTGTCTTGTCATGTCCTGTCCTGTATAAATGTTAGGTTCTAAATGTGTCAGATGATTTTTATTTGTTTTGGCAGAACGAACGGACCAACAAACCCATTATGGGATAGATGGTTTGAAGGACCAAACGATAAATCGGATTGCAAATGCTGCATATTGTGACCACATTCTTTATAGTGATGTAATTATACATGAAAACCAATTTAGTTCGACTAAAATATATTAGAAGGGCATTTGATGTTGTGGTAGCATGGAAAAAAAGTATAGGCGTTTTAGGCTTGTGAATTTCTGGAAGTGCAAAATTATGTATAAACTTTTAAATCGGTAACAAATATTGGCTTTGATATTTATTTAATTCTTATTTACCTTTAATAAAATTTTATATTTCTTGTGTGCTTATGAGATCTAATTTTATTTACTTACTGGAATACTGGTTGAGTGCTTTCAATTATTTAACACAACCAATTGCTTCGGTAATCCTAAGCCACAAAAGACTAACAAAACCTTTGTCATGTAGGAGGCCTGAAAGACCGAACACATGACATTCATTAGGCTTAGATTGGGACGAATGCCGATAGACATAAATTATAATTTCTTTTATTCTATCAAAAAATATGGCACTCCATTTTTCTATTTGTATAAAAAACATAAATTATAATTTCTTTGATTGTTATTTCATATTTGCAATTTATTATTTATTACCAGAGAAAAGAAATCCTTCATCGATAAAAATAAAAAACTATAACTGACCAAATAATATCAGTAAAATTTGTGGTTTCTTTGTCCCACCAAAAAAACATAGAACAAGGTGGGACATAAAACTTAGACAAAATTTATTTTTTTCCTTATTATTATTATTTTTTTTTTTTTTGAAACGGCAAATCTAACGTACTCCTAAACTACACCTTAAATCCACCTATATCCACGACGGGACTTGAACCCTCAACCTCAAGGAGGGAGAGCAACACCGGGTACCGTTGGGCAACACCTTATAGCTTGTAAAATATCACACTTAAAGTATTTTTACTTGACATGTCATGCCAATGGTTTGTGGTTTGCAAAATTTCATGAATGGTCTTAACGGTAAAACTAACTTTTCAGCTAGTAGATTTTTATGAAAAGATTATTTTACCTTTCTACTAAATCTACGATATACAACAAACCTCAATGAGATAGAAATTAAAATTTTGTCCAAAAAAAATTAACAAATGTTAAGTAGGAACCATTTTCAATCTACCATCTATTTAAAAGACATAAATGCGCTTCTAATATTAAAATAGCAATCTATCTAGTCTTGTCCGATCCCATGTAACAAAAAATGTGAATATGGCAAAAATTGCATTTTTCTTTTTTGTCAGCATCTAAAAAGATAGGGCATGAACTTAGACCTGGTAATTCGAGACACGAATCTGCGAGTGACACGACACAAATACACAAACACAAATACATCTTGAAAATTAAGATAAAGCTTATTTCTCTTCGTGTATTTGTATCATGTCAAATTTATGGTTAACACGTTTTCATGACACGGATCAACAGGTCTACATGGACTTGGTCTCTCATCTGTGCAAAAGACGTAAATACTATTTTCATCCACATCATCAAACACAACCCTAGAAAAAGAAAACAATACCCAAGGAATTTTCAAAACCAAATCGCACACAAGTGTCTCTTTTACGTATAATCCAAACAATAAAACATTCAACAAAATGACGATTACGCCCTTAAAGAGTTTTCTCTAGCTTGTTGCTTTCCCAGTAACTCTTTGGGCAATCCAACCCAACCCATCATAAAGCCCATCGCCCGTAAGAGCAGAACAAGCTTGAATATGCCAATCATGATTCTTGATACTATGAAGTGAAAGGGTATCAGTTATTTCAGCTGGAGTCATTGCATCCTTCAAATCTTGCTTATTTGCATACACTAAAAGAACAGCATTTTGAAGATCCTCATTTGGGAGTAACCGAAAAAGTTCATCTTTCATGATTGAGATTCGAGCGCGGTCTGTGCTATCGATCACCGCGATCACCGCGTGGGTCCCGCGGTAGTATGTTGCCCATGATGTTCGAAGACGTTCTTGCCCTCCGAGATCCCACACCTGTTTGATTTGTTGATTTTGGGGTTAAAATAGTAGTTTCAAACCATAAGGACCAAAACTGTAAATTACCATTACATATTATAGTGACCAAAAGTGTAATTCATTCATTTCCTAAATTAAAAACTACAGGGAACAAAATTGTAATTAATGCATAAACCTACAGGGACCAAAAGTGTAATTCAGTAATTTCTTAAGTTATAAACTACAGGGACCAAAAATGTAATTAAAAACTACAGGGACCAAAAGTGTGATTCATTCATTTCATAAATTAAAAACTACAGAGACCAAAACTGTAATTAATGCGTGAAAACTATGTATACCAAAAATGTGATTCAGTTGTTTCCTAAATTGTAAACTACAGGGACCAAAACTGTAATAAATGCAAATCAACAACTACAGGGACCAAAAATGTAATTAAACTACAGGGACCAAAAAGTGTGATTCAGTCGTTTCCTAATTTGAAAACTACGTGGACCGAAACTGTAATTACTGCAAATTAAAAACTACAGGGACCAAAACAGTAATTAATGCACAAAAACTAGATGGACCAAAAGTATAATTCAGTCATTTCCTAAATTAAAAACTACAGGGACCAAAAATGCAATTCAGTCGTTTCCTAAGTTATAAACAACAGGGACCAAAACTGTAATTAATGCGAATTAAAATCTACAGGGACGAAAACTGTAATTAAACTGCATGGATCAAAAGTGTGGTTCAGTCGTTTCCTAATTTAAAAACTACAGGGACCAAAACAGTAATTAATGCATAAAAACTAGATGGACCAAAAGTAATTCAGTCATTTCCTAAGTCAAAAACTACAGGGTTCAAAACTGTAATTATTGCATTTCATTAAGAGGGATATATATATGTGTTGCATAAAAAGCAATTTTAAATGTATTCATACTAAAATAATGGAAGTAGAATGCTATAATTAGGTAAATTTTCAGAAGTAGAATGTCTACAATGTTGAAGTAGGATGCTATAATTTACAAAAATATGAAAGTACAGTGCTATACTTGCACTTAACCCGTGTGTTCATTAAAGCATACTACTTTTATTTGTTTCTATGATAACATCATATTTTGAAAAATCTACCAATTATATAGAAAAAATGTAGTTTTTTTGTTGTACAAACTTTAAATATGATTCCCACAACATAATTGAAAGCAATTGCTTTTCAAAAGAGTTATGATAGATTCTGTTTCTTTTCTATTTGAAGAGTTTAGAATAACAAAGTGATATAGGATCGAAAAGTTGCAAATTTATGTTGGTGAAACCAAACTTACCATTTGCAGTTGATTGTGTGAAATAGGTTGAACAATGAACATAGAAGCTTAAGTTTGCAGAATGAATAAGAAGCTAAAAATACCTCAAATCGTATATTCTTATAAACCAGCTCCTCCACATTGCTACCAACAGTAGGGTGAGTAGTCACCACTTCACCTAAATGCAACTTATACAGTGTTGTTGTTTTCCCTGCATTATCCAATCCAACAACAACAATCTTGTATTCCTTTGCAGGAAACATCATGAACCAAAACTTTGACATAAGTGCCCCCATGCTTTCAGCCCTACATATTACAGAAGTGAAGAACATGAAATACACTTAGTTTTTATGTTTTGGGAGTCAACATCAGAAGTAGCCAGAAGTTAAAGAAAAGATTAGAGAATAAGAGTCATATACGTTCAGTCTACAATCATATCAGTAAGCTGCTTCATATAATTTGCGTTACAATCAACAAGATTTTGTATCTAAACATTCAACTAGATACAAAAATTATTCATGCAATTTACTAGGTAAATTCACTTATTGCATAGCGTGTCGATCAAATTACAATATTTGATCCAGGAAGAACACGTATGTAAAAGGAATATGTGGCGTGTGTATGTATGAATTGAAATTTGAGATGTGAACCATCATTACACACGGAAAGGCCTAAAAGCAGGAAGCCCACGCATACAGGAAAGCATCTGATTAAAAGTCAAGTTCGGAAGAACGAAATCGGATCCAGTAGCACCAATCTGACTAGTTTATTTGGAAATTAGGGTTTTAAATACAAGATCATACCTGATTAAACAGGATCGATTGAGCGAATGATACAGCAATCCGCTGAGGATGAAATATGTTTGAAATTACTGTTTTAGAACTGGGTTGTGCATATAGATCCAGCAACTTGAAAATTTAGGACGCTATCGAGCAATAGTTTCAGAATCGCGGATCTGTCGACAATTGCAGGTATAAATGGATTTCGAAACCACTTTTTGTTGAAATCGTGCGTATGTGGAAATAATTGAGCTTTGTAAAGCTAATCGATATAGAAGATGCTTGATGGGATTATTATGTTCTCCTGGTGGAATTAGGGGTGGGCCGTGTTTTTGCCATTCGAATAAAAATAGTCTTTTATCGGTTTATCTAATCTAAATTGGAATAAATATATGGGGCTTGTTGTTCCATTTTGTGAAGACAATAGGTTATTTAGAACTTAGAAACCTATGTATTAAATGGATTAGAAGGAGAAAATATTAAATATTAAATATTTAGCAGCAGGGAATATGACATTAAAAGCTAATACATTTTCTGAAATGCTCAAAAAACAGTAAAATATTATTAATGTTTTTTCAGTATAAAAAATATCATTTGTTTAAATAAAACCGGATATCTCAAGTAAAACCTTGTGGTGACCTATTATTGTGGGTAACCTAATTGGCGCCTTCATCCTTGACCTCTCGATTTCGACGCTTCAACATATACCACCGATGTAACCTAATCACACCATCTACCATCTCCCACTTAGGCCATTGCACCATTGCCGACTCCAACCACCACTGACCACACCATTGCGAATTCAAAAAGGAAGCGACAAGCGGTCTCACGATCCCCTGATTTCAGGTAAGTGAATTTGCATGTGTTTTTCTTAAAATCAGTAGCAACTTAAGTGGTTGTGTTTCTCGGATGTGTAGGTGGTAATGGAAGCAATGATGGTTAGTAATGGTGGTTCACGAAGGAGGTGGCGGGGATGGTGTTCAACGGTGCAAGTGAAGGTGGTCGATGGGTGTTTTAAGGGTGATTACTTCCATGTGAGATAAGCAGTCTGGGGTGATTCACTTGGAAAGGGAGACCGACAATGGTGATTCATTGAGGCAACAAGATACTTATTGAAAAGGGTCAGAGTACAACAAGGCCACAAGACATACATTCTCAGGAGATCGGAGATCAGAGTGATGTGGCTATCTTTTAAGAAGCGAGGAGCCTGACTAGTCATTGGTTCATTCAGTGATCCGTGAAGCCTTAAAGCAAGTATACGTGGTGATATGTGTAGTCTTCGGTGTTTATATTTGTAACCATCAAATCCTCTTTCAGCTCAAACTTGTAGATGTCGTCAAAGAGGCTGGAAACATTAAGGTATACACTCTAATAAGTCATATTATAATGACTTTTAAAACGATTTTCCAGAATTTTTTTAACAAATCACATGTATTTATGACATTTCAAGGGTATATGCAGAATGGGTTTGGTGTTCGGTTCACAAGGGATGAAATGGGTTTCGATGCATGTGGTGAATTTTTTTAACAAATAACATGTATGTAACAACGTAAACTTCGAAACAATTTTTCACATTTTGAAAACACAATTTCATTCATAATAGTTATAAAAGTTCCATTGTAACACATAACAATCCATAACATCACATCCCAAGATCATAATATATAAAACTCCTCATGTGTGTACTAATCAAGCCAGCGCCTTCCCTCAATCCTCACTGGTACCTAAAACACATAACACAACACTGTAAGTATAAATGCTTAGTGAGTTCCCCAAAATACCACATACAATACATATGCCTTTCCAGGCCATAACTCTGTGGAAACTTCCGGTCTAAGTGTCTTAGGGGACTTCCGTCCCGAATCCCGGTAAACCTTTCGGTCCTACCCGCATCGACCTTCCGGTCCATATCATACATAGCATACATATCACATATCAGCAGGTAGCACATATATCTCATAGCATATAAGACCTTCGGTCACACATAGGTACCCTTCCAGGTACAGTATAGTGAGAAGACTCACCTCGGTATCTCGGATAATCTTGCACTCGAACGCACTAGTCTAGCCCCTGCCTAAACACATAACAATACTCTCAAATAAATAACGGCTCTCAAAGGCTAGATTAAATCCACTCTACGATTTCCACAGAAGGGTAAAAGACTATTTTACCCCTGTTTGACCCAAAAGTCCCAAGGTTAAACAAAACCCTAAAAGTCAATGAAAGTCAACAAGAGGCAGTACGAGGCGCGTACCTTCTCTGTACGCAGGGCGTATGCCGGCAAACCACAATCGGGGTCTCAACCCCTTACGCTGCGCGTACTGAGAGTTACGCCCAGCGTAAGTCTCAGTTTCAGCCATTCCAAGGATTTTGGTCTTAAACGGTTAAGACACTCCTTCAACTTCCAGATCTGGCTCTCCTTAAGCCTCTTATCCCATAAACTCGGAACCTTTAAGCCTTGGCATGGCTGTAAAGGTCCCTACACCCTCTAACACTTTTCCTTTTTCCTCCAAAGGTCTATATCTCATGCATGGCTCAATATTTACATCCAAGATTACATTTTTATTAACATACAACTCTTATAGTCATGAAATATGATAGATCTAAGCCAATGGAGACCATTTGCTCATAAAGTCTCCATCTTGGGACTAAAAACCCTAGAAATTGGTCCAAGAAGCACACAACACAAATGACAAGGCAAGTTTTGAGCTTTTTACCTTAGGAAGAAGCTCTAACCTCTGAAAAGCTCGCATTTACTCTTTCCAACAGACTTCTAGCTTCCAAAATGGCCTCTTCTTCTCTTCCACCACCTTGAAATGACACTTAGAAGCTTAGAACACCAACATACTAGCTAGAAACAAAGGAGGACTCTCTATAAGGGTTTCACTCTTTGTAATGGAGGCTGAGGTCAAGGCCATAACATTCTTTTTATAGTGCTCAAGCCCCAAATTAGGGTTTACACATGGGTTCTCTACGCCCAGTGTAACCCTGGGTATGCCCAGCTTACCCAAACGAGTCCGCGTCCAAACTAAGTGCGTGAGTACGCGCAACGTACTCCTCTGTACGCCCAACGTACTCACTAGCCTAACTTTTTACTTAAGGGACTTAATTTGACAACTTGGAAAAGGTAGAAGGGTTAAATAGCTTTACCTGAAATTCGAGATGTTATAATTCTCCCCTACTGGAACAAGACTTCGCCCTCGAAGTCTCATGTCGAAAACAACTCCGGATGCTGCTCTCACATCTCCAACTCCGACTCCCAAGTCAGCTCGGACCCCCTTCGATGCTGCCACTGAACCTGAACCAGGGGCACTTCTATGACAATCGTCAATCTTGAGTCAAGTCAAGTCATCAAGTCAAACCGGTCAACTCGATTAAACCTTGTGTATTAGGGTTTGTGTTATGTTCATACTGTATAACTTGCTATATTAATGGGAAAACATCACTTGGGAAAAGTCTTGTGTTAAAATTTCATGAGCCTTAGTGCTAATCAATGAACTAAACTGATAAAAACCATGTTGCATACTCATCGGGAGTGTGTAGGATCCTTAATCTTAACTTAACGGGACTCAAGAACCGTGCATTGCGGGGCCAAACACTCACAGTTGTCACACATGGAACCTCTCTCAATCGTTTTCACTCTATCTCTCTCTATGACAAATCTCTCCAAGTATGTGAAATCTCTCTAATATCTCTCTGTATGAGAAATCTCTCCAAGAATGTCAAATCTCTCCCAAATCTCTCCAAGTATGTGAAACCTCTCTCAAATATCTCTTTGTATGAGAAATCTCTCCAAGAATGTCAAATCTCTCCCAAATATCTCCAAGTATGTGAAATCTCTCCCAAATCTCTCTCAAATATCTCTCTGTATGAGAAATCTCTCCAAGAATGTCAAATCTCTCCCAAATCTCTCCAAGTATGAGAAATCTCTCCCAAATCTCTCTCAAAAAGTTCCCGTAACTTTTTAGAATCATTCGGGTCATTCCGACCCTTAACCGGGTCAAAAACGGCTTAAAATGGGTAAAAACGAGAAAAATGGACCTTAGGAACCGAAACCCTTCTCAATGAGCCGAAGCTCCTTAAGGCCGAGACCTAGGAACCGAACCGAGCCTCTGTTGGCTGAACCCGGAGGACCGAACCCCTGTAGCTGAGACCGAGTCTCGGTCTCTGTCGCCTCCTCTCTGTCGCTTCTCGCTCTTTGTCGCTTCTCGCTCTCTGTCGCCGCTTCTCGCTCTCTGTCGCCGCTTCTCGCTCTCTGTCGCCACTTCTCGCTCTCTATCGCTTCCTCTCCTCTCTGTCGCCTCTCTACTTCTGTTCGCCTCCCGCCTTTCTTCCCCTCTCGGTCTTTGTTCTCTCTTCTCTCCTCTCTGTCTCTTCTCTTCTCTCGGTTCCTACTCTCTCTCTTCTCCCCTCTCGGTTCCTACTCTCTCTCTTCTCCCCTCTCGGTTTCTGCCCTCTCTCCTCTCAGTTTCAGCATCAGAAGGCCGAACCTCGGCCAGATTTCGGAAATTTGTCACTTTTAGCCCCTTTTTGATATTTTTAACATTTTAAGCCCGTTTTTCGTGATTTTAAAGCGGGATTTTCTCTAGAAATTATATTTTAACATAATAAACCCTAAATATTCATAATTTAAACATATTTTGATGAAAATCATTATCTAAATAATAAAGATCTAATGGGGGATTTATTTAAGGTGGAGTGTTGACCTTGCCTTAACTTATGACACAAGCAACCACCCCACACCCACTCTATGACCAGCCATACCTCCCCACCTTACCTAGGTCACTTCAATGTCCCTTACACTCAATTTAAACTCATTCCCACGTTTTTAGAGCTGGAACAAACATCCTCTCTCCTCATTTCTCTCATTTGCTCTCATTTCACTAAGCATCAAACACCACTTTTCTCTCAAACTTTTTCTACACCAATTTAGAGATTCAAGGCTGATTTTCAAGTGTTCTTCCACTCTTAGTAAGTATAATTCATCCTCCTTATGATTATTTCACTTCATTCTACTCAAATCATTGATTGCTTACACAAACTCCATAACTATGATGTTAGATTCTCAAAAATCTTCAAGGTATCTCCAAGTGTTCTTGAGTTAAACACTTCCATTCTTCAAGAATCATCTACTAAAATCACTTAAGGTGAGTTCATACCCCTACATTTTCATGTTTTCTCAAGTTTTTAAGGGGGGAATACAAGTTAAAACACCAAGAACATAACTAAAATTTTCTAACAGCCTTCATCAGAAAATTTCAACTCCATTCACGGACTGTTTTGGGAATCTTAAACATTTTTGTTTTCCAAACTGTACAAGGTGAAAATAGTTCAAGTTCTTAGCTTTAAAATTACTACTTGCACATCTCCATACGATTTTTCTACAATTTATGGTGATTTTTACAAAACTGCCTATCATTTCAAACAACAATCCGGACCAGTCTGTGATTATGGACTTTTTCACCCAAGTTGGAAGTCATTAAAAATCGTGATAAAAATTATGCATAAACTAGACACATTTTGTGAACTCCCAGAATTTACGGATCTAGTTTTCAACTTCGTATGATTTTTCTATTATTTTTCCGAAACAGTGCAGAATGGCTAAAGTTAGCCAATAGCATGTAAATATCATAACACTTTGTATTATGTTGAGCAAAGTGTTTAATCATAAGTTCTAATTATTGAATGTGTTTCTTTGTTAGTTTATCATCATGAACTAAAACTAAGTCATTCATAATAAATATTATTCATTCATTTTAGAACACGTATATTAAACTATAAAAAGTATAGTTTAATAAATTCATATCACTAATACATTTCCATAAAAGAGTTCTTACATATTACAAACGTTTTAGATAAACTATAATAGGTATAGTTTATGACATATTGTATAACACACTCGTACTAAAAAAGTACATTCATACAGAAAAGGTTTACACTCACACACATCATACGTAAACTTGTTACCCTAAATTGTGAGACATTCTCTCTTTTCGTACGTCCGAGTGCGGAATATAATTCCTGGTAGTTATAGTCAGAGTCTCCTGGAGGGAGAACGTGATACTTGTATATAGATCTATATTGGGTTTGACACACCACACCTTGCTGCTAGCTACAGTGGGACCTGCAGGTCTACGGGTGACAAATGTCATTTCATTTTCGCGGCGCCTGAGAAACGTCGTGGAGAGTTCACATAGTCATAGTATGATTATAGCGACT